CGTCCGCCTACTTACCGTCGAGATCCTCATTTCCATCGCCGAGGTCGTACCCAAGGAGCAGCAGTCGAGTCACGGCGTTCTCCTCACTTCTCTGCGAAACCTGATCGAGGACAAGAGCTGGAGGGTTCGGTACATGATTGCAGACAGATTCGAGAAGGTTGGCAGGAATGAATACGCTCGTAGGGAGGGCCACGCTAATGCGCAAACAGATTTCCAAGGCTGTCGATGAGGAGGTCGTTTCAAGGGATCTGGTGCCATCTTTCGTGAAGCTCCTCAAGGACAACGAGGCAGAAGTCCGGACTGCGATTGCTGGACAAATACCAGGATTCTGTGCGCTTGTGGACCGCACTGTCCTTCTGAATGATATCATGAGCAGCGTGGAGGATCTCGTTTCCGACACCTCCCAGCATGTCAGAGCTGCTCTCGGTACCCAGATCAGCGGTCTCGCACCCATCTTGGGAAAGCAAGAGTAGGTTCTATGAAGGCTACACTTCCGCCACAAGCGACTAATTCGTCACAGAACTATCGACCACCTTCTGCCCATGTTCTTGCAAATGCTGAAGGACGAGTTCCCCGAAGTTCGCCTCCACATTATTTCCAAGCTTGAACTCGTCAACCAGGGTATGTGCTAGCTTCTGAAACAAAAGCATCTTACTAACCCCTCTGCAGTCATCGGAATCGACTTGCTCTCCCAGTCTCTTTTACCCGCCATTGTGCAGCTTGCTGAGGACAAGCAGTGGCGTGTGAGACTGGCCATCATCGAGTACATTCCTCTTCTTGCCAGCCAGCTTGGAGTTAAGTTCTTCGATGAGAAGCTGAGCAACCTCTGCATGAGCTGGTTGGGCGATACCGTCTTCTCGATCCGCGAGGCGGCGACGCACAACCTGAAGAAGCTTACAGAGGTCTTTGGAGTCGAGTGGGCGAGCGAGGCGATCATTCCCAAGGTTATGGCCATGGGCAACCACCCCAACTACCTCTACCGAATGACAACCGCCTTTGCCATCACCGTAAGTTGAGATCTTCGCCTCTATGGTACCAGAGATGCTAATGATTTCAGACCCTTGCTTCTGTTGTGAGCCTTGATGTCATTGCTGACAAGATCCTGCCCATGTTGGACAAGCTCGTTGACGATGAGATCCCCAACATTCGCTTCAACGTCGCCAAGACATATGGCGTTCTGATTGACGTCCTCCGCCGTTTGCCTGAAGAAGGCACGATTTACTCCCTGGAGAAGGAGGGTGGCAGCTTCACCGCGTCTCCCAGAGGCATGGAACTGATCCAAACACGCGTCATTCCTAAGCTCGAGAAGCTGCAGAAGGACGACGACGTCGACGTGCGGTACTTTGCGACAACGTCTGCGAACCAAGTGTCTGGACCTTCTTCTGGCGAACCTATGAATACATCACCATAGATGAGAGACGTAATGAAGCAATTCCCAATCTTTTTATCAGGACCGTCCCAAGACTCTTACCTTGCATGCTTCGACCAAACGCTACATGGTGCTGGGTGCTACTCCGGTTCCCCTGTCAGGCTTTACAGAAAAAGAAGAAGACTAACTAGACAGAGAGAGGCGAGGTTTTCACTGGTGGTTAACGTTAGGAGAGATATCTCCAGGGGCATGGAAGCGACCATAGATGGGGCACAATGGAGGACGTGCATGGTGGAGTATAGGTGACGTTGCCTGACATTCCCCCATTAAAGAAACACATTGTATGATACACCAGCAGCCGTCAGAGAAACGAGATGCAATAACGAAGAATGTTATCTAGTACCGTCGTGACCGACGTTCTTTTGCGGGGTATCTTGAAGGTCTTGTCATTCGTCTAACTCGTTGCATGATGCTCTACCTTAGCTATGCCTGCCTCTGGAAGCACAAACTGCTGATAGTCTGGCCTTTGGCCCCGCCAAAGGTGAAGCTAGGATAATCCACCTTGCCCACAGCAACAAACTTGCCCGCATCTCCCTCATTCGAAGGGCCCTCGAACCACTTCCTGAGCTCCTCCTCTGTCCAGTTACAGCTCGTGATGAGAAGCAGGCCACCGGGCTTGACGAGGCGGAGCGCGCGGCCTCTGTATCCCTCGCAGATGCGCCTGCCTTGCGCGTCCTTTTCGTCGCTGAGGCAGATTGCGTCAAAGGTGCCCTTGTCGAGGACGACGTCCCAACCGTCTTTTTGGGACCCGTTGAGCACGGTTTCCCAGGGTCCGTTTAGGACATCCCACTCTTCGAATTCTGGCTCTCTGGCGTCTGCCTCGTCGTCTTCGTCCCCGGCGGGTGCGTCGGACATGTCCTCATCCTCCTTGGCGGCAGCTTGCTGTCTCTGCGCCGCGATGCGGCGCGCCAGCTCGACGCTCTGCGGGGCGTAGTCGACGCCGAGGGCGCGGCCGGCCCAGCCCTCGTCGCGGAGGGCGAAGAGGAGGGAGCCGTTGCCGCAGCCGAGGTCGAGGAAGGTGGCGTCGGCTTGGCGGAGGGAGTGGTCAAAGGGGGCGGACTCGGTGAGGTCCTCGAGGTAGGTCAGGAGCTTTGACTCGGCGTCCGAGTCGTCGAACCAGACTGTGCCGCGGTCTTCAGGGTTCTGAGCGTTGTTTGTGAGTTCGGTTGTGTAGAGGGATGCCCAGCTGTTTCAGTGGACCTGTTAGCTGGGGAATTTCCTTGGTGATGTAAGGGGGTTGGGTGTTGAGCGAAAGGGGTATGCCATTCACTCGTGGCGTGGAGGGGTAATGAATTCAGTGACGAACTATTCTTTTGTCCCGAGCTTGGAGGGCTCCAGGTGTGCTGGGGTAGATGCCATTTTGGGTGCTGTTGTTGTCAGAACCGGACTTCGAGAAGTAGTATGATGGCTTGGTAAAAGGACGAGTTCTTTGTGCCGAGAAAATGGACAATGATCAGCTATCCTTCAACCCGACACTCTAGATCCGAATTTGATGCCATCGCGAAAAGAAGTTTGGCGGGGTGTTGTGCCGTTGTCGACCCGGAGTGGAAGGCGGTGAGGCTCTTTTGGCTGGCGGGTGGGACAACCCCCACTTCCTTGCCTGGTCTCTGTTCTGCCTATGGCTCAGAGGTGCTAGGGATCCTTGCCCTGGCAATGGAGGGGTTGAGTTGGAAGGTTGCTGTAGGGCCAAAGGTTATGGCATCTGGCAGCTCGACATTGGTTGGTAGGATGGGTTTTGGGAGAGCAAGAACCCAAATCCAGACGGCGGTTCTGAGCAAGCTGCGGGGTAGAATTTGATGGGATAGGAGGAGGAAGACGACTGGCTTGCATTTGGTGGATTGATGAAATTGGTTACATGTCACCCGGTTCTTGGGGATAGGTACCTAGTTTTGACCTGTCTCTGCTTTCTAAAAAATCAGACCAGAGGGTAGAAGTACAGAGATAGGACAGCGGGAGCATTGACGTTTCCAAAATAGTTGGTGCGGTGCCAATGGTAGAACATACACCAGACAAGCTACTGCACCCACACGAGCCTCTCTCCCTCCTCCTCTCAGTCTCAGTCTCAGTCTCCCATGCCTGCAAATACTTTCGCAGCGAGGAAATGCAAAACCGTTTCGATGGCAATGGTACCCACGTCCGTCGAGGGAGTAGAGAAGCACAGATTACATATAAGCTGAGAAATAACGCACAGCTGGTAAGTGATGACTTCTCTGGATGGGAGCAGAGAGAGGGGTCTGTGTTTTACTAAACCCATTTGCCTGGTGACCCAAGTACCTCCTACACCAGGCGACGACATCGCCACCCATGTGTTTGCTCGTTGGGATACTTTTCGTCTCAAATGTTTATTGTGCAAAGAGCACGACCGCGCCCTGCTGACAAGAGAGGAGGGGGTTTGGGGAAGGGGGAGAGAGGAGAAAGGTGACGTTTCGTCTGGTGTCGTGAGGTTCGTTCATATACAGACACACAGCGCACGCTGACACCGTAACAACCCGTCGCCCTCTTTTCTTCATCCACTCGTTCTCCTCCTTTCTTTGGCGTATCGCCAGACTCATATTGGTGACTCCTTTTTCCTTCCAAAACCAGTTAATTAGAGTCAGCTCTCGATGCTCGCTCTATCACGAATCGATCAAGATAATCATTAATCAAGAACCAGACGAACTTCTGCCATTCATCGAATAGAAACCCGAACCAGGCTCCAGCGTCAGGCTACTACTGGGGCCGAGAAAAAAACGATCGCAGAATCGGGAGCCACAATGTACAGCTTCCACCTCCTCCTCAGCTTCGCCCTCTTCCTCTTCCTAGCTCTCAGCGCAAGCGGCGCCGTTGCTGCAGCACACCATATCGACCGCCGGCAGCTTCATCTTGGAGCGCGACAGACTCCGGGCCAGGAAGAGACCAGAACCAGAGGAGTAAGTCTTTCGTAAAACGACGCGAGCAAACCTATCATAAAGTCGTTCTTTGGTGGCTGACGTCGATATGAAATAGACTTGTACGCAGATGAGCAACAAATGTAACTTGACAGGGCGAGATGCCCAGGTCTGCCCGGCGGACTACAACAGAGTCAGTCACCTACCTTGACATTACGGGTGTGAAAAGACCTCCAGTCGCACGAGCTAACATTAGCCCCCAGTGTCCCTTCGACGGCGCATCGTGTGTCCTGATTGAGCCAAAAGGGGATTCCAGCCGCAAGCCTGAGGTGCGTTGCGGCTATCTGGGCAGTACACGTTCGTGAATCAGGAATGGGATGGTTGTGAGAAACGGCAAGAAAGCAAGCAACTTGTGAAGGTACCCTGGAGACTATCTAGGCTCTCTGTTTTCAGTAGAGAGCAGACATCCAAGTGTTCCTTCTGGTATGAATGTGAATCTTCAGTCATGAATTCCGCCCCTTTCCATCCGCATTGTTGATGGTTGACTCCTGTCCCCTTCCTTCTGGCCAAGACTCTTCAACCAGTATGGACCTCTTTCCATGCTCGTAACGCAGCAAATTCGATTGGATATACCGCTCATCTACATGGACTGCCGCCAGGTCACCAAAGCATCTTTCTTCGCACTCGGCTTATCTTGAACACGCTCAAAGTGCCCAAACAGTCGCCTTGACAAGAACCTGGCGACCACGAACTTCCACTACCGGGAAGCCCGCAAGTCTCACCGTGCTGTTGTCCTTAGGGGGAAGAGCTGAAGGAAGGGCGGTATCAGTACTTGTGCCAACGATTGACGACGCAGTGCTGCCCTTGCGGCCCGCCTGCGGTCCACCGCTGAGTATATTTGTGAACATACCGCTCTTGGTCTTGTCCGCCCGTTGGTTCTTGCCGCTCTTGTCCTTATCGCCTTCATCGGCCTCTGCTTCGCCCTCCGCTTTTTGAATTTCCAAAGGTGGAAGCGGCGTCTTCTCGACATCCATGATGTTCAGTTGAATTGGGTCTCCAGGTAGGGGATAGTTAATTGCGACATCTCTGCTCTCTAGCGGCAGGTTGGCTGCGATGCCAACGGCCAATTCAACAATCATGGACGCGCTGCCGTCCACTCCAGCTGGCGGCGGGTCTGTCATGTACTGGAAAAGTGTCGCCGTGAGGTTCGATGTGCACATCCGAGTAAAGTCCGCCCTGTTGTCTGCACTCTCCGGGGAGTTGAGAACTCTCTGCAGACCCTCAAGGGTAGCCATTCGCCAGCTCACGACCTTATTTGTCAATGCATCGAACTCTTCTTGGCTGCTCATCGTGTACGAGAAGCGGCGGATGTTGAGCTCAATCTCCTTCAGCTGCCGGCTGAGCTCGAAGTTGAGGCCGGGATGGAAGCACTTGTTGAAGATCTCTTCTACAATCCACCTAGTAATGACGGCACGACCAACGGCTGTCATCTCCTGTTTTCCGGTCTTAAGAGCATCAATGCTGACGAACATGTCTAACCACTGCGGTACTGTACGCCAATCTTTTCTGATATTGAATGACAGATTGTTGATAGCACCATTCAGACGGCTGAATCTCGTTATATACTCGCTGTCGTCGAGGGCAGTCCGCGACTGTGACATTCGCTGGTTGGCGACTGCATTTTGCAGCACCTCAATTTGAGAGTTGAGGTTATCGATCTGGGTCTTGCCGTCAAAGTACAACCGCTTAACATTCTTATACTTAGTTACTGTGACTTGTTAGCACACTTCCAACACAGCAATCATGTCCTCCTTACGAAGCTCCTTGAATTTGTCGGGATCTGTGCCGTCGCGATCGGGGTTGGAGGGCTGTGGGCTGTTCCGGCCTTGCTCTCCGGTGGCGCCTTCAAACTGCCGCGAGTCTGCAGCACCGCCTGGTCGGAAGGCAGCGTTGGCGCTGCCAGTGGTGGGAGGCATGGTCTGGCTTTGTCTGTAACCGGGAGGGCCTGCAGATGCGTCGACCTGACTGCGCAATGCCTTCTCTGTCTCTTGGGATCGTCTGTTCGGGGGAGGGCCGCCAGAGGGAGGGGCCATATTCTGCTGCTGCGACTGCTGCTGCTGGGCTTGAGGTCCTCCTTGCTGGGCAGGGGGAAGTGTTGGAGGCAGCGGGCTGTCTGTGGTCTGTACTGCGTACCTCACTGCGGGGGAGGTTTGGCTGGAATGTACGTTTGCCGACAGAGCGTCTGAATCAGTGATGGGTGATTCATGCGACAACTGGGAAACAGTCTCGGGGTTTTGATGCGAACCGGCACCCAAGTGACTAGTATAGATCGTGGGTGGTCCAGCTTGGTACTGACCAGGCTGCTGGTTGGAGTATTGTTGCTGGTACTGCTGCTGTGAGGGGTCGTAAGCAGGCTGCTGACCGTGTTGGTGCTGTTCCTGTACGGTCGGGATCTGCTGTGGCTGGCGATCTCCGTAGTCGGCTTCTTCGTAAGGGGTATTGTCGAAGTCGGTCGGGACGTAGCGAATGGAGTTGCGATTGGAATCGGGGTTCTGTAGACGAGGGTCTCTGTTAGGGTCTTGTGCAAATTGGTGATGCTCGGTCTCGCCGACGCCCTGTAAGGGAGAAGGTTGTTGATGAGGTGCCGTAAGCGGCCAGTCGACAGATTGTTGGTCCAAGGACTGCTGAGACGGCTGCTGGGACAAAGTAATTCTTGCGGGTGGTGGGTTGCTCACTCTTTTGGACGGTCGGCGAGCAAGACCACCGGTGTTATCGTAGGAACTTGGCGGGGTAGGTTGGGGGGGCGGGGTGTTGTGATGATCGCGGCCCGATCCGCCCAAAATGTTCCTGAGCAGCTTTCGTGCAGATCGCTTTTCGGGGACGGGGGCCGGTTGCTGTTGCGGAAGAGGTGAGGTTGCTTGAGTTTGAGCGGAGGCGGGAGCAGATGAGGTGCTGTTGACGGAAGTTCTGAGGTTGTCGACGGAGCTAGATGCAGCACCGGTTTTGGCGTTATTGGAGTAGGGGGCCACGCCAGGCGGGTAGCGCTGTGACTGGGAGCGGGAGACGGAGTCGGTGTAATCCTGCTGACTCCTCTGGCGCAAATCAGCTATGGGTGGATTGTGGTGCTGCAACAGGAGGGAGTTGCGCGAGGTTGAGGCAGGAGGATGGTAATCGTGGGGCTGTTGCAGTGGAGATGGCCCTTGCTGCCCTTGCTGGTGTTGTTGTTGAAGGAGTTGTTGCTGCTGCTGCTGTTGTTGGAGCTGATGTTGTTGATGAGCTGCCAGCTGGTTTGGGTGGATGTCAAAGGATTCGCTGGAGCTGAAGGCGGTCGACGAGGCTGAATGGGGGGTAATTTGATTGAGACTATTAGCGCCGGCGGCGTTGTTGGCCGTGGTTGTGCCAGAGCCTGCACTCAAGGCAGGAGCGAGGGAGGAGGAGTGAGAGTGAGAAGAGGAGGAAGGAGCACCGGCGGCACCAGCAGGGCCGGAAGGACCAGGCGTGGGATGCGATGCCGCTGAACCTCCTAAACCTGAACCTGAGCCTGAGCCAGATCCAGCAGCAACCTCTCCGCCCGGATCAACAAGTGCTTGCTGCGAGCGGTTGTGGTGCCTTCCAATGCGACCGAAGGCCGGCATTATAACACTGTGATGTCGTTGTGCGCAGCCGCCGCAGTCCAACCTGGCTTCTTTTTTTTGTTTATTGGCCTTTTTTCTTGTTCCCTTGTTGCTTGTTTGGGACGCTTGCCCTCCACTAGAACACTGCGGGTAAAGAGGGTAGCAAGCAAATCGATCGTCCTAGGTATGCCAAACGGCACAGCCCTTGGGTTGACTGACTGAACAGACTGAAAATGAGAGAAAGCAGAGACAGACAGATACACAAGACCGGATGGTGGACCGAACGCGCAGCTTTGCTTGCTTGCTTCCGGGGGTACGCAGCAACGTAGCGGGACAGGCTTCGCTTCAGCTCAGCTTGGCTCAGTCAAATGTCGGCTCGAATCTTGTCTGTCCGTCGATGTGCAAGGTCGAGATGCAGTGGCAGAAGCAATGACAGCTAGCAACCAGCGGCAAGCAAGAAAGGGAAGCAAGAGGATGGCAAGACGAGAGATTGATCAGCCCGTCCTGCTGGTCCCTGTTCCTATTTTTTGCGCGCCTGCGCCTGCGCCTGCGGTTCTGCGTCTGCGAGACCCTGTCTGTCCACTTCTCATCCAAGTTCAATCTAACCTACGTGTGCAGGTGCCCGCCAAAGGAAGCACCACCACCAGAGCAACAGGCAGAAGAACAGATGGATTGGTTCGGATTGGCTACCCAACCTGCAGAAGCGGATGCCGCGCTGGGCGACTGGGTCTAGGTCTGGGTTCCTTGGAGGGGCTTCCTTGGGGCTGTGCACAAGTCAACCCAGGTCGCCGTACGGATACTCCTCGCAAGCTGGAGAGCTGGATTCGCTTATGGCTTGATGCTAGGGTGCTGCCGATGGCTGCTTTGATAGAGGCTGTCAGACGCTGTCTGTATGTCCGGCCAGTGCTGGCGTGCAACGCTATCCCGTTCTCGACCAGCAATCGCAGGCCAGAGACGAATAGCTGCGAAGGAGGGTTGAGGGACGCGCAGTCTCCTCCCTCGAGTCTTTCTGTCGAGTTTCTCCTCCGGCTGCCTCTATTACTGGCTGGGGTCACCTCTCTTCAGACGAACAGCGGTTAAGGCTCGATACTCGTGGGGGGCGACGAGCGACACGCTACAGCTGCTGCGGGGGAGGGATCTGGGGTCGTTTGGTGAAACGCAGGCTGGTTTCGATCCGCGTCCTCAGGGGTCGTCGTTCGAGGTCTTGTCATCGGCAACCCAAAGATAAAGCCTCGAAAGCCAAGCGCTTGGGTGGCAGAGACAAACGATGAGCGGTTGGACAACGAATTGATGATGACGGGCGAGAGTTCCGGGTTGCTCAATGGTCAGTTGTGGATGTCAACGGTAAATTCGATTCAACCCGATGGAAATTGGGCGGAATGTGGAAGAGGGGGGCGTAATCAGAACGGAGGAGAGGAGGTGAATGGTGTCGTGGTGGGATCCCACGCCAGGATAGGGCTGATCAATTACCTTTTCCCCGGTTGACCTTCTTCTTCCCACTGAGAACGAGCCACGGACACGAGATGTTGCTTCGCGAAACGAATTATCGGATGGGTAATTGGCCATTCAGAGGAAGCCTTGAGAGAGAGATAAACCGCCAAGCAAATGACACCAGATCCGACATCTTCCTCACTCCGACTCTGAGCTTACTTACATGCAATGTTTGTGTCCGGAGCTCGCGGCAAGCAAGGCAAGCTCAAGGCTAGCAAATGCTTGCCATCTGTCAGCACCAGCGATGTATCTGATAGTTATTAGGGTGATGGCACGGGCTCAGGCATTTTCAACATCAGATCTTCCGAAAATTTGGCTCAAGTCTGGACGTAATAGGCTCAAAGATCGTCGGGCATCGGATTCACACAAGCCTTCGTCCGAATTACAACCACGAGCTCATTCATCTTCCGTCAGCAACGACCACCCTTCGTTGTTCAGCAAGACCCTCGTTCGCCTTCAGTCACCTTCTTGGCCACTCGGTAGTGCGGGAGAGCTGCTGCCACCCTGCACCGAGCAGGCCAAACCCAGCCCAGACTAGCCGGCCCTTGGCCTGCATCCCCGTTGTCAAAAATCACCGACTACGCAACAACGTGCGGCCCTGCGGCTGACACTCAGCCCCGAACAGCATGCGTAGACGGGGAAAGCGGACCACCCATAATCCGTACGTTGCCCAAGCTGAGCGGTACAGTCCAGAGGGGAAGGGGCAAGGAGGGTTGCCAAATCCCAGGCTTTGCACCCAAGCATTGGGCTACGACTTTCCCGACAGCATTGAGCACTCACTCACGTCTACCCTGCAAGCGTGCAGAAAAGCGCACGCCTCTTGCGGCCGTTCTTCATCTCAAAACAAGTCAGGAGATAATGCAAACCCTCGTCGATATCTTAATATTGAGGACAGATTCGACATGCTTGGGCATGCAATTTTTGGAAATCTGGGAAATGATGACATTTCACAGCAAACGACAGAGTTTGAGATGGGCATCTGGAATTACTCTCCCCAGAGGCCATGTAAGTACCACCTACCTTATCCCCGCCGAACAGGCGCAGCTCGGACAGCTCAGCCCTAACGGAACCTTGTTTGTGGGCATAACTTTCCTGGTGCGGCGTGCCAAGATGGTTTCTCTTCGTGTGTCCTCCTCCTTCACTTTAACTGCAAATGAGCAGTGGGGAGCTCTCTCACCTTATTCTCGGCGAAGGCTTGCTGCCCGTGTCTCCTCCCCCACCTCACGATGGTTTGTCTCGCTCCAATATGGGACAGCGTCACCATGAGGCTTAAGCTCCATATTCGCAGAGGTGGTATCATTAACATATCAACAAGCATACGGATATCTGCAGCATGAACAAGCCATTCCACCTATAACGCTACGTCCGGCTTGGCATTCCTTACGCCGTGTTTGCAAGAAACTAAGCTCCAGCCTTTCAATCGTCTCAAGATGCTTATCAGCTGTTCTAGTCTCCGGTTCGTTTTATGCATCATCGGCGATGGGATGTTTCCTCTAGACACGCAGAGTTATTTTCAGGGTATAAACAGGAAACGCGGTTGCCACGATATCCTACTTCTTTGCAGCAACTAACAGGACTAACCTCATAGCTAGATGCTATCTTTACAACCGAGCAAATGAGCTCTGGCAAATCATTAGACCTCGAGCCTAGCTAGACAGCTTAGGTGGAGTCGTCTCCAGAGCAAGATGAAGCTACCTACCAATCAACCTACTGGGGACAGAGAAAACAGGGCCGACAGTACGGAGTAAGCTCAGTAAGGTTCTTCATGTTGAATGAAGTACCGATGCCGTCTACGTAGCACAGCTCATGGCAAATTACAAACACGTGTGCTTTTGCAGTGAAGCTACCAGGGGGTGAGTCATGCTGCGTCATTTGAATTGAATCGCGAGAAATGACATTTTGCTGTACGAATGGACGAAGTAGAGTGAGTCCACAAAGCTACTTTGTATCTCTGGAGCAACTGTCCAATGACCTGTATCTCCGGGCCTATGGGAACCAAACGAGGGCTTGACGATGCCGTCACAGAATGCAGCATTTGTTCGCATCGTCTTCTTCACCCGTTCAACCGACTGCAGCGCCCTCTGAGCTTGATTTTCTGCCATTCAAACCTGGGCAGTTGTTTAGAGGCTCGCATATAGCTGGGAAAAGCATGCCGACGGCCGGCCAAGCGATCCAATGTCGGCAGGGGTCTTGTACAAAAATGGGGTTTGGAGGGGAGACCCTTTTGCTTCAAGCTCCTCTACAAAAAAGTTTGTTTGGCGTGGTTAGGGTCTATTAATAGACCCCGTCGTACTGGGAGAGGATGGAAAGCGGGTCCCAGCCCTGGACAGGGTGAATCCGATTTGACTATTCGTGCCATTCTGGACTCGCAGTCTTCAGAGAGCGGACTTCCATTGGCGATGGAAGGCGACTCTCTCTCTGTCTCTCTATCTCTCAGCTCTCTCTCCGCAACTGGACCTATCCGAATCAGGGATGGCTCGGGCTCTTTCCAGCTCACCTCACCTAAGACAAACGACAGGGGGGGCAAGCGGGAGGAGGAGGGGCTCCACGGTCCACCAGGTTCACCACTCCATATTCAACACCGGCCGCTGGGGACCGCAGATCTCGCCGCCATCCACAATGACACGACACCGCAATGCCATCTGACCTTTTATGCTGATGATCCCTCAGAAATCAGCAGATTTAGCCATACCTACTGCATTCGTGGCTGCCAGCATTGTACGGATACAAGTCCAGGAAATGCCGGCTTTCAGGTTGGGAGAAAGTGCTTTTGGATGGAATTGAGACGTAGTGATCTCCATATCGAATGTTTCTCGGTGTAGAGCTTTGAGTCGTGACAAACAAAGCAGTGGTACTCGTAGACACTCTTCGTCAACAACTGATTGCATTTCGGCGGTCATCCTTTAGAGTACCGAGGTTGCCCTTCTTCTTCTTCTTGTCATATGCATCATGCAAGGCTGATGTAAAGGTATGCAAGTAATCATCATCATGGCTGAGTCCAATAGATCCGGGATCTCGGCCGAAATATTGGTTCTCTGCAGCAAAGCCACGTTCTATAATCGAACACTAGCAGGGGAATACGATACGTTTGTCGTACGCCTTGTTTGCTTGCAAACCAACCATGGTTGGTCTAATGGATGCTTTTAAATGGTTGGTAGCTACTTCTCGTGATCCCTCGACGTAAGGCGATCCAGTATGGTATGAGAAAGTCTGTACTCTCAAAAGTTAGGAATCATGCGGCGAGAGGCCGAAATGGCTTTAACTCCGCACTAACGATACCATGAATGTACGATGATTGTCTGTAGCCCAGAACATCACTCTGGTACTTAGGACCGAGGGGTCCTCCTCGGCACGCCTGCGGTTCCGTTCCGTCTGGGTCTCCGTGGTCCGCGGCCCGCGGTTTACTCAGCGGCCCCGGCAGACACTATAAGTTAGCGGAGCCTGCCAGCTGCGGTTCGAGACTCGGCCCTGTCCAGGACGTGTGGTTATATTTTGAGACATGAACGATGCGGGCCATCACATGACAGCCT